CTTGTGACATTCAGTTTTATTTTCCTTTTTTCAATAATTCTTCATATGAAATATGTTGCAGTTACTACTTTGAAAGGAAATATCCTTATATGAATCCTATCTCAGTCCAATTTTATTTCTCCTTTCACATAAACTCCTTCCTACACAATTATAAATTTCTTTATTTATTTATTTGAAGATTAAATATTGAACAATGTTCAAATGTGTAATGTGCAACAGTACATTTTCATCCATTCTTTTGTATAACAAGCATCAAATTTTTCATAAAAACATGCCTTATTTAAAAATTATTTGTCTGTTCAAAAACTGTGGGCAACATTTTAATAAATATGTTAATTTTAAAAAACATATTCTTAGATGCCACACAAGAAATTATAAAGAAAGAACATGTGTTACTTATTGTTGCAAAGAAAAAAACTGTAACAATTATTTTACAAATAGAGTAGATTTTCATAAACATTTATATAATCATATTAGGCAAAGTAAAATTGGGATTTGTTGTGGATATCGATCTTGTCTTCTAAATAACACAATTTTCAAGACAGTCAATAATTATGCAGTGCACATATGTAGACATCATTCATATAATAATAATGAAAACAATTTTGATAAGCAGTTTATTGTTAATAACGAAGAATTTAATTTTGATGTGAGTAACAATTTCAATCTTGTTTCTCAAGAGATAACTTCAAATCAAGTTTTTGGTGATATAGAAAATACTAAAAAAGCTATTTCACAATTATATTTAAATTTGACTGCAAAATATTTTCTAACAGAATTTGCTCTACAAGCTGTAATAGATGGTATGTCATCTATACCGAAACTTATTCATGAACACTTTATTAAGTCTTTAAATGAAAGTGATATTCAAGATGATATAAAAGATAAAATTAAAGATATGTTTCAACACAGTTATTCTTTTTTTGAAAATATTCATAATTCCATTAATGGTAGTCTTCGAAATACGTATTCAAGAAATATATATTTTCAACAAAATTTTCATATTGTGATGCCTGTACAAATTAATTTAGGAATTGATAACAATCACAAACAATGTTTTTATTATTATATTCCAATTTTCAAAACTATTAAGGTTTTATTACAAAATTCTGATATTCAACACTTTTGTTTAAATTTATTTCAGATTTATAATAGTAATGCGCTCTTTGATATTAAAGATGGTAGTGTATTAAAAAACAATAATTTCTTTCGTAATAATAAATATACATTACAAATTTTATTGTATCAAGATGCATTTGAAATATGTAATCCTTTGGGTTCAGCCAAAAAAAAATTTAAACTTGTTGGCGTATATATGGTGCTAGGAAATTTACCCCCTTACCTCAGATCAAAACTTGATAATATACAGCTTGTTATGTTATGCTATGAAAAACATGTAACATTTTTTGGTTGGGAAAAAATAATGGAATATCTTATAAATGATTTAAAATGTTTAGAAAATGGAGGAATAGATATTAATGTTGGTAATAAAACAATAAATTTTGTTGGCACTGTTGTTGCTATGTTGGGAGATAATTTAGGAAGCCATCAAATTGATGGTTTTACCGAAAATTTTAATTCTGAATATTTTTGTCGTTTTTGTGATATAACTCAAAATGAATTCCAATCAAAGTATGCATGTACTAATATAAACAGAAATTCAGATAATTACAATTTGTGTGTCACACAAGCAAAAAATATCATGAAAGCTGTAAAGGGAATAAAAAATGATTCGCCTCTGAATAAACTGAATTATTTTCACATTTGTAATCCAGGATTACCACCCTGCATAGCACATGATCTTTTTGAAGGAATCGTTTCATATGATATTATACAGGGTGTCCCATTTTAATGCCCCACCCCAAATAACTTTCTTATTTTTAATTTTAGAAAAAGATGTTTCAGACAAAAGTTGTATGGTTTCGAGGGGGACATAAGATGGTACCATTAATTTGATCTTGAAGAGTCACATGAAGGTTACGTGAAGATCATTTTCAATTTCTTAAATGGAACACCCTATATATTTTTGCATATTCTTGTAGCTTATCTCGAGAGCTTTCCAAAACACTATAAATAAACATTTTTTCATCAAGTACGTTTCGAGTAATGAGGCTTGAAATCATTTCTTAATTTTACATAAACCATAAAATATCTTGTAAAATATTCATTTTTTGATTATCTTACCTTAATACTTTTATGTACAAAATAATGAGAGAAATCCATTGGTGCAAAGAAAACATACAGTTGTTTTTAAGAAAAAAATATGTAATTTGCAATTAACAATTCCATATTTTTTCTTAAAAACAACTGTATGTTTTCTTTACACCAATTGATTCCTCTCATTATTTTGTACATAAAAATATTAAGGTAAGATAATCGAAAAATGAATATTTTACAAGATATTTTATGGTTTATGTAAAATTAGGAAATTACTTCAAGCCTCATAATTCGAAAAGTACTTGATGAAAAAATGTTTATTTATAGTGTTTTGGAAAGCTCTCGAGATAAGCTACAAGAATATGCAAAAATATATAGGGTGTTCCATTTAAGAAATTGAAAATGATCTTCACGTAACCTTCATGTGACTCTTCAAGATCAAATTAATGGTACCATCTTATGTCCCCCTCGAAACCATACAACTTTTGTCTGAAACATCTTTTTCTAAAATTAAAAATAAGAAAGTTATTTGGGGTGGGGCATTAAAATGGGACACCCTGTATATTGTATAAAATATTTTGTGAAAGAAGGTTGGTTTCCTTATCAATTTCTAAATTATAGATTGCAAAAAATGAAGTTTTTGTACGAAAATGTACGTAATTGTATTCCTCTTATAAGAGATTCAACTAAAATTGCAGGCACTGCAAGTCAAATCAGAAAAATATTATTAATATTTCCCTCAACAATCTTTGATGTAGTTAAGAATATTAAGGATGATGTTTGGATATTAATGTTATATCTTCGAGAAATATGTTCTTTAATTTGTGCTCCTGCTTTGTCCTTTGGTCAGATTGCGTTATTACAAGAAAAGATAAATGATTACTTATCATTGAGAGTAAAATGTTTTCCAAGTATCAAATTAAAGTCGAAGCATCATTATATTTCTCATTATCCCATTTTAACTACATGTTTTGGTCCATTGAAACACTTATGAACCTTGAGGTTTGAAAGCAAACATAGGTATTTTAAAAACATTGTTAAACATTCCCAAAATTTTAAGAACGTAATTAAATTATTATCACACAAACATCAATTTTTGCAAAATAAATATTTCAATAATAATTATCGTACTTTAGTAATAGCAGATGATGCACAAGAATATATTTCTCAAAACTTTAATGATCAAGTTTCTTTCATTATAACAGATTATTTTCATAAAAGAGAAAATGAAAATATAAAGTACATATCCTCACAAGTTACTTTTAAAGGTATAACGTATAAAAAAAATATGTGTATCTGTGTAGGTAAAGATTGTTTTGATTATTTCACTCTATGTAAAATTAAATACATTTTGATAAATAACTGTTATACAAACATTTATTTTTTAGGTACCATAACAAAAATTACATATAATCCTGATTTTGGCATATATGAACAGTTCGAATTGAAAGGTCTAGATTGCAATGTAGAGAAAATTTTGTTGTTCCCATACACTTCCTTACTTGCACCACATCCTATCCTGGAAACTAATTTAAATTCTATTCCTGTATATGTCTTCAAGTATGCACCTCTTGATTCATAAATTTGGATCTTCAAATGATGTAAGCAATTTATACTTCAACGTAAATTGTTACATTATGCATGTATATATATGTTCCTTTATTTTAGATGTCGTATCTCTATAAAGTCTGGTCTGCCGATAGAAAAAATAAAATATCACTTATACTTCGTGAATCAGATGATATGCTAACAGATCTTATTACAAAAAGTAATATTAAACTTGGAATTGTTGGTTCTGTTCTTGTCATAGAGAAAGATGGCACAATAATTGATGACAATGAGGTTCTAAAATTTTGTTCCGGTGAAATTTTAATGTTACTACGACCAGAAGAATCCTGGTCTGTACAAAATAAAACTGCAGTTATGTCTTCTGATACTGCTTCACTCACATCTAGTTTAAATGAGGAAACTTTTTCGCCATCATCAAGTTCGCTATCTATTTCATCTCCAATAAATGAAATATCAAATAATAAACAAGTAGAACTTGAATTTTGGATAAATTTTCAAATACCATGGAATAATTTAGAACCAACAGTGCTTAAAGAACTGCAAAATGGAAGTCGCAGTAAATATGTAATAAATGCAGTTGTGAACCGTACCGTTTCTGAAATGAGAAACGTTCAAGAATTTATACCATCCAAAGCGTTTAAAATAATAGCTGAAAAAATTATTAATAAATACCCAAACTTTTAAAGATATAAATGAAGATGGTACATGTTTTGGCGATGGATTTCATACCACATATTTAAAACTTCGAGACCGAAATTGTTACTTAAATAGGCCACATATGAAAAGAAGTCTAAGCCAAAGTTTAAATATACCTATAAAAAAACAAAAGAAAGTATTATCCGCTAAAGCAGGATGTAGTAATTGGCAACCAGAAAAATATATTGATACAGAAACAGAGGAAACAATTGAAGAAAAGACTAAATTTCTATGTCAAATAGTTGACGATGATTCATCAAGAAACGATCTTAAAATTCAACACAAAATTAATTCCTATCTTGAAGCTACATATCCTGCGCAAAGATTATTTTTGAACAATGTTCATGAAATACCTAGTATCAAAAATATTAAAACCACGTGGCCGATACTTTTACAAAAAAAATTTATGTTTTGGCATTATGAAAAACTAATGGGACGTTCTATAGATCTTCTAAAGGAAGAAATTATAAAAAAACAAGAAAAAATTCTCAATTATGGACAACATAAAAAATATAAAGATATCAATGATTCTAATAATCCAACAGAGATAAAATTGATACAAATTATAAGGAGACATTTTAAAGAAGATTTTGAAGGATTATTTAAAACATATCCTGTAAATATTTTCTTTAAATATATTTATTATGCTTATATATTTATTTTGCTTATATGAATGTCATAGACTTAATTAATACTGAATATAACTTATTTAACAGGAAGGAACATCGTTGCAGGATATAAAACCACCAACTGTGGCACCATGCATCATAATCATAAGTAATTTCACTATATGTAGTTATACTAAATTTAACTTTAGTAAATTTTTATTGTTATATGTTTGCAATTGCTTTCATTATCGTATATTATATTATTACAGATGACGCAGCATGTCGAATGTTTTATTTATATATAGAAAATGTATTGATTGAGAGGACAATTTGCTTTTATGAAGCTTTGAAAATGTTGATGTCCGTATATTACATTTTCAACATGGAATATCCCATAAATTGTACATGTACTTTAGAATTTTTACAAAAGTATTTTTTAAATATTCATCCACTTGCTGGTTCAAAATCTCGTAGGATATCAACAAAATACAAAGTATTATCACTCTTTAATAAATTAAGAGATACGTCGAACAAAGAAAATACTGCTACACACAAATAGTGTAGTGTGTATGTACATATGTATGTACAACAACAGTAAGCATTATTATGTTATTTATATCAAATTTGTATTAATGGCATATGCACACATTGTATCTTTATGGTACATTTTTATATCATTTTATAATCTTTATTAATATTTTTATTTCTTTCAGAAAAAGATAAAGATCCTATATATTATAGCATGATATACTTTTCCTATGATATACTTCCTATCCTATGATATACTTTTTAGTTTAGTTTCTAAGAAAAATAAATTTTTAATTTATCATAAATACTGTCAATTGATTGCAAAGGTGTTACATTTCGGATACGTGGTTAAAATGAAGACATTTTTTCATGAAAAAAGAAGATTTTTTTTCTGTGAGTTCTTAAGTTTGGGATTAAATTGCATATAAATATTTACTTTATAATCTGTGTTATTTTTTTTTAGTTTCAGAAAGGGATATTTATGTACATTACGATATGCTATATATGTTACTTTTTAATTTATACTTTCTAATTAGAATAAAATTTAAAAATTTTATTCATTTTATCAAATACTATATAGACTATACAGTCAAAGGAATTATTACGGATACATGGTTTAAATAAAAATTAAGAGATCATTTCTTTACGATTTTCTTCATGAAAAAAGAGGATATTTTTTTTAATTTGTGAGTTCTTAAATAATTCTAGAATTAAATTGAATATAAATATTTACTTTATATCTGTATAATCTGTATTAATATAGTTTTTTGTTTCAGAAACTGATAAAGTTCTATACATTGCGGCATCCTATAAAATATAAAATCCGAAAAAATATACGATATACAAATGTATCGATGAATGAAAGCGTATCCTTATGGATACGCTATAATACCGATTTTAAGTTGAGATCGAAATTTGACTTTATCAGTTGGTTTCTCGCATTCTTTCTATTTATATTATAATTTAACCTATCTATGTAATTTTTCGTAATAAAATACATTCTGCATAGAGCACAATTCATAATTCATGTCATGCGGCAGAACCATGCTGATAAAAAAACAACTTCGATTTAAAGCGAAAAAAAAGTTTACGCGCATTTCGGAAATTGCGTGATTTAAGTCAATTTAGCGGGTACATCAGTATTACAACTTCGTGATTTTAGGATTAAATGCAATTTCCAAAGATAATATGTTTAAACGAGAGAAATCTTAAAAGGTTGAGGCAACTCGATTAAACAATATGTTATTATCAACAGGCAATAATTTAGACATAAGATATTTAATATATTACTTACAAAAAGCTCATTGCTTTTCAGATGATTATAAAAGGAGCTTATAATTTAAGATACGTATTGTACTTTTATGCTTTATTAAGTGATCTATAATGAGATTATATTCCAAAGATTTTTGATACAAGTACGTATTTGAGTTTAGATATAACGTGCGATAAAAGTAGGGAGATTTGTAAAGTCCATTTTAGATACATATTGGATTTTTATTTCGAGCAAATTTTGAAAACTGCGTACTTACCACGTTTTTTTTTTTTTTTAATTTTCCATTTATATTCTGACATGTCAATAACATGATTACTATTTTTTTCTTGCGATGAATATTAAAGAATCAATATTATTTGCGACAATTATAATCCACCACAAAAAAATCGTTAGATACTTTAGACATAGATTTACGATGATATATTTACTAAAAAGAGATTGCATTGTTTTTTTTTCTTTTTTATAATGCAACATTCGTAATATCGAAACGTTATAAAAAACTTGACATTGTAAATGTAAAACTTAACATTTTAAATAAAACAATTATTAATATTGTAGAAAATGATTGAATTATTTAAAGCATAAATATTTATTTCTCCAGCCATCTAGTGTATATAAATAAATTTATTTGTTATAAGGGATGTCAATTAAGCTTGACGTTTAAAAATAGGTCGATTTTCAATATTTTTTTTCACGCTGATATTGACAAAATCAGGCTTTTATATATAGTATATTGTTTTAAAAAATGAAACTTATAAGTTTTTCAATAAATGAAACTTACAAGTAAAATTTATATGTTTTAAGTATGCAAAAGCCTTTGTCATGCCAATATCAGCGTCAAAAAAAAAAATTGAAAATATATCTACTTTTTCAGCGTCAAGCTTAGTGATACCAGTTAAATAATAATTAAGCAGATTGCAGAAGTGAATTTACATAAAAGTAAAATTAAAATAATAATGTAATACAACTTTTTGAAGTTAAAATATTTAATATTTTAATAGTAAATGTACACAACAGAGTGTATTGAAAATTTTACTTACAAGTAATTTTCTTTGATAATTTTTGTAAAAATAACATTTTAAAGTGTAATATCGCAAACCTGTATAATATTATTACAAAAATAATGTAAACTTGTAATCGTAAAACATAAATTTCATATTTTTATTTGTAATAACTGAAATGCGTGAAGTATTATTACATTCTGTTGTGTAAATTCAATATTTGAATGTTTAGTATTCCAATTTCAAGAAGTTTTATTACATTTCTTATTCTGTAATTTTGCATGCTATTGTTAATTTATTTCTGTAATTTGCTTAATTACAAATTAAAGAATTTATTTTACTTGCATACTGCAAATTTACAAATGAGTGGAAATTTACACCTATTATAGTGGGTCTTAAAATTACCCACAATAATAGGTGTAATTTTACACAAAATTTTTTTACAGTGTACGCACTTAGCATTGAAGAAGTGACCGAGTCCACCGAAAGCGATGACGAAAATTACGAAGAAATATTAGACTCTGACGTTGTACCACACCGACCAGCTCCACCCGCTTCCCCCCCATGGAGCCAAGCTTTAGCACGGGAAGTCAGAGGAAGTTTATTACAGCAAAAAGACAATCATGTTATTTTTATTTATTTAAATGGAGCTCCTTACGACAAGTGTGCGAAAGCCTATCAAGAAGCTAATTTACTCCCCAAATATGAGGGACTAACTTTCGAAAGGGCAAGGGTATGTACCGTAGAAGGAAACACTCTGATCGCCCTCCCCATTAAATATAACAACCGCACTCTCATAGAAACTCAAAATCTCAAAAATTGCTTACGCTCTCTAGTAGACGTCATTACCGAAATTGAACTTCCTTCCTTGAGCATCAATAAGACCGAACGTTTTGATGGCCTTCCATGGTCATACATTCTAAACCAATTTAAAAGATACTTACAGGAATTACCAATTTATATAACAATATGTTTGGATTTAATCCAAACACCTGAAATAGGCAACCGACAATCTCTGATTTTAGAAAATCATGCCTCTGCCGTTGGTGGACATAAAGGCGTGACAAAAACTTACAATCGTCTTAGAGCTCAGTATTGTTGGAAAACAATAAAAAGAGACATCCAAGAATTCATTAGAAATTGCCGCGACTGCCAATTAAAGAAGCTAACCAGGGTAAAAACCAAACAACCTATGGTTATCACAGATACTCCCGGTTCTGCTTTTGATAAACTATCTTTAGATATTATGGGACCCCTTCCCATAACCATGAAAAATAATCAATACATACTGACTATGCAAGACTTATTGACTAAATATTCCGTCGCCGTACCATTAAGAGAAGCTACTTCTCTAACAATCGCGGAACAACGCTTTCACGAAAGACTTTATTTGTATTTATGGTACACCCCGCGCTATATTAACCGATCAAGGAACAAATTTCCTGTCTGCTTTAATACGACCATTAACTAGGAGATTCCGTATCCAACATTTTAAAACTACCGCATATTATCCACAATCTAATGGATCCTTAGAGAGATCTCATCATGTGCTAACTGAATACCTAAAAACTCAGATAGACAAGGAAACAAATTGGGATGAGTATATCAGACTCGCCATGTTTTCTTATAACACCAGTGTTCATGAAGGCACAAAATATTCACCCTACGAGCTAGTTTTCGGACGAATAGCCCGACTACCCTCAGCCCACCCTATTATTGAAGAAAACATCGAACCTACGTATCACGAATATATCACCAACCTCTTCAATAAAATCGGTGACTTACAAGCACAAGCCAGATTGAACCTCATACAAGCTAAGGAGAGAAGTAAGAGGTATTACGACCGAAATCAAAACCCACGACAATTAGAAAAGGGAATGTATGTATTCTTATTGAAAGAACCACAGAAGGGGAAACTCTCCGACCAATACACGGGCCCTCACGAAGTACTTGAAATTTTACCCCCTAACGTCAAACTCAAGGTCGGAAAACATGTCCGACTTGTTCACGTAAACAAAATAAAATTGTCACATCATCAACCTGGATGAAATAATAATTTAACCTTCTCATTTTACAGATGCTTTGACACAGACGGCTACTCAGCCGAGGCTGGATGCCGCCTCTCTAGGGCGTGCGCAACAGGCCTTCCTGTATGCCCATTACATGCACGTCATTGGGGCACTCAACCTCGACGACTAAACCCAGCATATTACCCCTTCTTTAGATGTTTTACATGTGCTCAACCTGTAGCCCTGTGCACGTCTCTGTGGGATTGCAGAAGGTGTTCCCTGTACTCACAAGCAGAACAGATGCGAGAATTTAGAGCAAATCGAAGTTGTTGATAATTCAATTCACAATGAGTAATGCCGGCGATCCTTCTTGCAACCCTATCCATCAATTTTTTGCACATTTGCCAAATCTCCATAGGGCACAATGTCGGAAAATCATATTCTATAGAAGATACATCGGGAAAACCCGCATTCCTACCCGCATGTG